ACACACACACACACACACACACACTTATAGACATGTTTGTTCTTCTGTCCTCATGGGGACTTTGCATTGACTTTCATTCATTTACCAGTATTTTCTATTACCATTTGAGCCTAAACCTTGCATAGCCTAAACTTTACATGGGATGTGAACTGGGCTTATGTCCCCATAAGAAACAGTGGGTCCTCACCAGGCTGTGTAGTTTGCTTCATCTCTAAAGAGATGCTGCTCTTTAATATTGTTTATTTACTGTCTTAGTTGTGCGTGGTGTTTAATTTACATTTTGTTGTTCTGTTTATTTTTTATTCAAGTGCATTTTTGTTAGAGACTGAGAGTCCACTTTCTTTAAACATTAAACATTCTTTAAAAATTAAAGTTTATTGATTTATTACACTTACATATTACGCTTTTATAATTATTAGTTGTAAAAYGGTCACCAGGCAATATTATCGCTTATCGCAATAATTTGTGAGACAATTAATCGCCCAGTAAAATTTGTTATCGTGACAGGCCTATGGGTCACATACAGCAACAAGATTTACTTGTCTTCTTCTTTCAGCTGTTTTCTCTGAGGAATCATCCTCCATCTCCCAACAACCAGCATCCTCTTTCTTGGCATAAAAAAACAGACTTCTGCTCACAAAAATTCACCTCTGCTTTAACAGCTCTCTCTCTCCAGTCCTGTTTTATAAAGGGCTGTCACGCTCAGGTGCAAAATAACAACCAAAGCTAAAAAAAATAAATAAAACTGGGGAAACTTGCTGACCAGTTTCAAAATGTTCCAAGAAAGTGTGGCTGCTTGGAAGCATAAAATAAGAAAACCATGGGGGGATTTAAAGTATTTAAACCGTTTGCAAAGTGTTACAAATGAAAAAAATGGAAAAGCTGAAGATGATTTCTTGTTGTTTCTCTGTCACATAACTGCCATAAAGCAGGCACTGCTGAGGAGAAATGTGGACAAATAGCAACTAGATGGTTTCTGTGTTTCAGTTTGGACGTTTGTTAGCTSTTTGAGGGAGAAAAAAACGTGTTGTCATCGTGATAAAACATGTTTCAGTGAGAGCTGCTGTTTGTGGAGTGACCAGAGGCTGCTGCTGCTGCTGCTTGTCGTAAACAACTCAGACAGAGAACAATGGGCAAGGTTGGAATTACTTTTCACGATTTAAAAAAAAAACAAATAAGCTTTGTTTTTGAGGCTAACCAAACGCTGGTTTTACAAGTACACAACACACAGAAGGCATCCACGTGAAATCCCAAAAACATGAAGTGAATCAATCACCGGGTCTGGCTGAAAAAAACAAGCCCACCCCAACGCCGAGAGCTAAYGCTAGCTTTGAGCAGCGACCCACTGTCCGGGGAGGGATTTATTTCTCCTGTCAGCCGGGCTCAGTTGGCTCCGAAGCACGCAGAACAGCTAGCCTTTAGTTATACGTAACCTGTGCATTAAAATCTAATTAAAACAAACGAGGCTTCACGTAAATAACACAACCTGTTTACCTGTTAGAGTAGATGCACTCCACAGGGCGCCGCCATGTTGAACGCCTCACAGCCCCATCCCACAGCGGTGAGCCTCCGCCGTCAGGCTGCAGCGTAAACTAGTCCCACCAAGGTAGCGCCCTGGACGGCTAACGACTGCGACTTTTACAACTTTAAGACGCATCGGTTAGCTATTTACTAAAATGATGATTAAAAAACAACTAACGATGCCATCTGTTTTTRCGTGAGTTCTGGTGGTTTATTCGCCACAAGTTTGTTTGTGTGTTATGCGGTTTCGCGTGATCGACAAGAGCGCATGCGCAATTTGCTATTAGCGTTGCAAATTAAAAGGCTATATTTGAAGGGATGCAAAGTAAACTAAAAACATCCAATAAAGGAGAAAAACTAGTTGAATCAGTTTTTCCAACAAGCTTGACATATTTATTAGATTTTCAGCAAGTACCACATCAATTCTTAGCTCAGTACTTGAACAATTGACTGACTTGTAGCTGTTTCTGTGTTGCCTAATCTATTATCCGGGACAGCCACCTTGAATCGAAATACGAGTGGTTCAAAAATAATTTACAGATAAAACACGTGACAAAGAAGTTATTAAAACCCCCAAAGCCTGAATTAAATATTTTAAGTAAAATCCAGGTAAGAATCAGTTTATTTATCCAGTTCATTTGGATGCAGTGTCGGTATTTGGCCACCAGATGGCGCACTTGTACAGATTCCCTGTTAGTTGGTTTTAAATGGCAAACTCCAGATTTCCTTTCCTCCTCCTCCTCCTCCTCCTTTTGTAACAAAAACAAACTGTACAAATGTCCCTGAGGTGTGAAGGTGTGCTGGGACAGAAGCAGCAGATCTCAGTGGTCCCAGTTAGTCTYCAGGACTGGTTGGGTTTGTGTGTCTTTGGAGGCGACCGAAGTCACAAATGTTCTACTGGACACCTTAAATCCTGCACACAAACAACTAGAGCTGCTTTTCTCAAACTAAATCCTGTTAATTCAAACATCGCTGGAGGGAAGTGAAGATTTTCAATTGGGATTTTTTTTTATCCGAAATTCATTTTCGCATCAAATAAAGCCTGTTTTCGAAAGGTTTTCTTGTGTTTGTTGTTTTTAAAATTTAAATTAAAGAAGCCGAACAAAAGAGAAACGTTATCAAAGCCAGAGAAATTGTTTTTTTTATTTTGTAAGAACGGTGAGTTGATAATGAGCGCTGAATGATTTTGTAAGATTTTGAGCTGTTGATGCTAAAAAAAAGGCTGAACACTAGCTAAAGGGCTAAAGTAGCAAAAGGACAGCTAAAAGCTTCCAGCAGCAAAATGTTCATAAAACTGAAAAGCAGCAATAGGCTGGCTATAAGACTTGAAAAAAGCTAAATGCTAGCTGAAAATAGCATGATGCTGGCTGGCGAAAAGAAGCAAAAGGATAGTTAGAATTAGAAAAAGACTAGCCAAAAGTAGCAAAAAGGTAAATAAAAGTGGCAAAATAATAGTTCAGAGTAACAAAAGCTTTGCTAGATCAAGAAAAAAAGACTTGCTTAAAGCTGCAAGCCAAAGGCTAAAGGTTGGGGATAAAAACAGCTTTAACTTTACAGTAGCAAAAGGCTAGATAAAAGCAGCAAAAGCTCAGCTAGAAGGTAAAAATACTAAAAGGCYAGCTAAAAGTAGCATACCAAACGGCTAGGTAAATATAACAAAATGAAAAAATACCAAAGGGTAGCTAATGCTAATGGCTACCTAGAAAGTAAAAGTAGCAGAAAAACAGGTAAAAATCAGAAAGGCTATCTAAAAGTAGCAAAAATGCTATCTAGAAGGTAAAAATATTAAAAGGCTAGCTAAAAGTAGCATACCAAACAGCTAGGTAAATATAACAAAATGAAAAAATATCAAAGGGTAGCTAATGCTAATGGCTACCTAGAAAGTAAAAGTAGCAGAAAAACAGGTAAAAATCAGAAAGGCTATCTAAACGTAGCAAAAAAGCTATCTAGAAGGTAAAAATACTAAACGGCTAGCTAAAAGTAGCCGACTAAAAGTCTACCTAGAAAGTAAAAGTAAGTGTAGCCTAAAGTGAGTTACCTAGATGGCAAAAGTAGCAAGAAGCTAGCTAAAAGCAACGAAAGATTAGCTAAAAGCAGTAAAAAGCTAACTAGAAGGAAATAATAGTAAAAGGTTAGCTACCAAAATGCCATGTAGCCTAAATGTAGCAAAAGCTAGACTGTAAAAATACAAAAGGGTAGCTAATGGCTACCTAGGACGAAAATATACAAAAACGCTAGCTAAAAGTAACAAAAGTCTAGTTAAAAATAAAAAAGCTAACTAGAAAGTAAAAACACCAAAATATTAGCCTACATTAGCCTACCAAATGTCTAGATAAAGGGTAAAAATACCAAGAGCTAGCTAAGTAGCTAAAGGCTACAGAAAACACATTACGGAAGCTAAAACCATGAAAGTAGACACATTTTCTGAAGCAGATTTCACAGATTGGTGTTTTCGGAGAAAAGGTTTACAAATTAAAGCAAATATTTGCAAAAGTTTTAAGCTAAAAGTCCTGAATCAGCTGAATGTGTTACAGCAGAAACAGGTAAAAACCGCGCGCAAAAATAAAAATAAAAAACCGGATGTAAACATTGTGGATGCTGACTCAGCATAAAGAAACTGAAATGTAAACATGAAGCCGAGTTTCTCCTTCACCCCTCAGCTCGTTTTTACTGTCTTTTCGTGTGACTCTGTGTGACTTTGTGTAACTTTGTGTGACTGTGTAACTGTCTCCGTGTTTTTCTATGCAAATGCGCACCTGCAGCTCTGCTCGCTGATTGGCTGAAACCAACAGATTCTGCTGCCAAATTATCTGATTGAAAATCAGGGAGGAGAAAAAAACAGCAGCGAGCCTCGAAGCTTTTACAGCTGCTGAGCTTTTCTAACTTCAAGGAACGGATTTCACCAGAGCAGGAAAAAATATATATATACTTAAAATTTTTATTATCATTATTTAAATTACATCACTTTATTTATTTGTAAATAGGAACCCGATTTCTGTCGAATAAAGGTGAGGAGATTCTTCTTAAGTTAATTTAAAAAAAAAGTTTAGCTGTAAAGTTTTTTTTGTTTGTTTTTAATCATTGGAAGTATATAAAATGTATTTAAATCCAGCTACTTTATAATAATAATAATAAAAAAAGTTAATTTTCCTGCTGTAGGATCGTCATGCCGCGGTCATTTCTGGTGAAAAATAAAAGATGTTCTTCTTATAACGTCCACCGGACTTATGAGGAACAGGAGGCCTTTAAACACGGTAAGATTGATCATTTTATTTTATTTTATTTTATTTTTTTTAATTTTAGAACCGATTCAGAGCGCAGTTTGAGCTGTTTTAGATCTGCCTGACGTTTTATTCTGAATAAAAACGAGTTTTTGCTTTAAAAAAAAACTATAATTAAATCTTATTTAGAAGCATTTATGGAGTGAATGCATGTCACCCGCCGAGTTTTAAACAGGTGTAGCTTCTATTTTTATTTTATTTTTTATTTTTTGTTTATTTATTTTGGTCCAAACTTCTTGTGAGTTTCATTAAAATTGGAATGTTTTGCTAACACGTTACCTTAATTTTAAAATTCTTTTGAATTTTTTTTAATTTGTCTTTTCTTTTAATTTTTTTATTTTTTTCCAGAGGTTCCATCTCAGGTCCAGGACTCCTCTGAGGGGCTCAAGTCAGAGAGGGGGTCTCCCTGCTCACCTCAGCCTGGAGGAGAGGAGCTGCAGTGTCCCTTACCTGCCCACCCTGAGCCAACCAAACCACCTGTGGCCCCCACACAGCCGTACTACCTGACAGGTGCTGAAGCCAAAACAGCTAAAAGTTTCTGGATTTTTTTATAGGTTAAATAGCTAAAAAACCTTCAACGAAACAATATTAATTAGCACTGAGTACATGTTGAGATGAGTCTCAGCTACTGCGCAGGATTATATCTGTAAAACTGGAGATTTGAAGCCACGTTTGAGTCGACAGAAGTGAGTTTTGTAGTTTAAAGCTACAAAAAATGTCTGAGACTCTTGTTTTTCCAGGTGTTACTGAGATATTTTGCTAACAGAGAGACAAGCCGACTCTGAAATTTGATGCAAAGTTTTCAAATCTTAGATTTTTAACGGTTGGCATTTAGAAATAAACGCAGCTAAAAGGTTAAAATTGAGGGGCTAGTTCAACCTAAAAGAAGCAAAAGTCTAGCTAAAAGCTAAAAGCAATACAGAGCTAAAAAATGGCAAAACAGAAGCTAAAAGTTGAACATAGAAAAATGCTACATGCAGCAAAATATTAGTTAAATGCTAAAAGTAGCTAGTTAATTCTAAAAGTTACAAAAGGCCAGCTAAAAGATAAAAATTTAAAAGGGCTAGCTAAAATTACTCGAATGGCTAGCTAAAAGCTACAACTAGCAATAATGCTAAAAAATGTTGAACGTAGCAAAACTCTAGCTGCAAGCATCAAATATTAGGCAACAGCTAAAATTAGCAAGACACTAGAGAAATGATACAAAAATGTAGCCAAATCTAAAAGTAGCAAAAGTCTAGCTAAAGGTAGTTAAAAGGTAAACGGACAATACTGAAAACCAAAAGTCTTTATAAAAGCTTAAACACTCTGAAACCATGAGCTAAATGCCAGCAAAACTGTCAGCACGATGGCTCAGTGGTTAGCACTGACGCCTCACGGCAAGAAGGTCCTGGGTTCGATCCCCGGTTCGGACCTGGGGTCTTTCTCTGTGGAGTTTACATGTTCTCTTTGTGCTTGTGTGGGTTTTCTCCGGGTACTCCCCCACAACACAAAAACATGTACAATAGGTTGCCTTCAGGCCCAGGCCTCCCTTGAAAAAGAGATCTGAGATCTCAACGGGACTTGCCTGGTTAAATAACGGTAAAATAAAGTAAAATAAAAAGGTAAAGTAGCAAATATTTAGCTAAAAGTTTAACGTAATTCTCACCTAAAAAAAGGCGCTCTAGTAATGCCTGAAGTTGCATCACCTCATATAAAAAAAAGTTAAAGTAGCAAAAAAGCCAGCTAAAAGCAGCAAACATTTCACTAAATACAAATAAGAGCTAGCTAAAAGGTAAATGTACAGTAATAGCTAAAATAGCAAAAGCCAAGATAAAATCTTAAAGCGAATTATGTGCTCTGAGCAGCAAAACGTCAGCTAAATGCTAAAAGTAGCAAAATGCTAGCTAAAATAGTAGATACCCAAAGGGTAAAGTTTAACGAAGCGAAAGGCTAGCTACAGGCAGCAAATGTTAGCTAAATGCTAAAATTAGGAAGCCACCACAGAAATGTAGCAAAAAGCTAGGCAAATATAAATATTGCAAAGGGCTAACTAAAAGCAGCAAAAGTCTAGCTAATTGTAACAAAAAGCTAGCTGAAAGCTAAGTGAACACTAGCTAAAACAACAAAAAAGCCTAGCTAAAAGCTAAATAAATCATTGTTTTTATTTTAACTAAAAGAACATGGCACTGTAGTTGTGCCTGAAGTCACATCATCACTCCATATCTGGTAATCGTGGCCTTGTGTTTGTGATATATTCGTACTATTTGTATTTTTTCAGGCACCAGTTGTTTTTTTTGTACAAAAAACTTAAGCTGTTTTTCTCGCCGCAGAGCCTCACGTGGCCGAGTATCCGCCTTACTACAAGCCGACGTTCGCCTGGGACCAGCTGGCGTCCTCCTACGACCTCCGCCAGCTGAGCTTCAGCCCCACGGTCCTGCAGCACGCCAGTAGACTGTACGGCCCCCACATCAGCCGCAGCCCGCCGCCGGAGCAGCCCCTGGACTGCAGCACCCACTACTCCCCCACTTCCAACACCTACCACTGCATCACCTGCGACAAGGTGAGCGTCGGGCTCACTCCTCCCTCTGAGCAGAGGAATCGGCCCTTCGATGACGGTCTGAGCGTTTGTCTTCAGGTGTTCTCCACGCCCCACGGGCTGGAGGTCCACGTCAGGAGGTCCCACAGCGGGATGAGACCGTTCGGCTGCAGCATCTGCAGGAAAACCTTCGGCCACGCGGTCAGCCTGGAGCAGCACATGAACGTCCACTCTCAGGTCCGTCAACTCAAWTTCAAACATTGCGGTTGTGACCGTTTTTTAAATGTTTAAACAGGCGGAGATAACCGTACAGCTGYGCTCAACATTATCTTCTGCTCAGCTTTTTTATTCCCTCTTAAATTGCGTCATATTTATTTTTCGTGGGTTTCGTTAAAAACGCGCCACAAAGCTTTTTCTGCTGTTGACTCTTGTTTGGGSTTTATTTGATTGGGTGAAATGAGTCTGAACAAATGAAACATTGTGGCAATTTAACAATGAACAGGCACCTCGGTAGCATGTGGAAGAACCATACGCAGCCACGAGAGCCTGGCCCCACCTCCTCATCCTGCTCACAAGCTTGGTCACACTGCTGTTGGCAAATCAGTGGTTTTCCAAAGTTTTCAACATAAATGTGTTTGACAAAAGCTGACAAATTTAAACACAAATCGTTTCTGTCCGTTCAAACGGTTTTTGATCTAATGTTTTACATGAATTAATGATTTGTGTGCTGTAACACTTCCTGTGCAGCTTGGGGAACTTCCTGCAAGCGGTGAACTGGTACGAGTATTTACACGTCTTTTTAC